TAACATTTGAAAAATCACTTTATTATGGAAAAATACCAATCTTGATGCTAGAGCCAGCCTGCATTTCTTCCGTGGGTCAAATTCGCCATCTTTCTGAGGAAATAATCAGTCTTGGGTTTTATTTTGTACCGTCACAAAGAGAGATTTAAGCCTAGCTTAAGACTTTATTAAAATCCAAAATCGGACTGTGCGCACATTTTGTCCCAAGCTAGTTTCTCTCTGTATGAGCACAGAAATCCCAGATGCATCTCTAAATTTTGTAAAACTTTTTAATTATGAGAAGGAGACTTAAAATTAGAATACTTGGAGAGGGGGCTCCATATTGGAACGCCACGTGCTCCCTTCTTCCCATCCTGCCTGCTTTTCATAAGTTATTTGAGCATTCAGCCCACGGTTTGCGTGGGCTTGCTCCTGGCATTTCTGTGATAGGAAAAGCAAGCCTTTCTTCTACCGCCATGTCCTTTAATCCTTCTCTGATGGCTTTTTGCACAGGTGATTCTGTTAACGGAGAATTAAACATTTCAGGATTGGGACATGGAGGTGGAGGGGGCCATGAAGGCCATTCCTCCCATTTTTTCTTTTCTTTCTGCTCCTTTAAGAGCGGAGGGTGCGCGGGGAGGAGGTTTATCCTCCTTGGCCTCTCCTAAAGGCTCTAGCAAATGAAATACCGTGTTCCACAGGGAAAACAGTTTGGAGGCAAGTTTTTTCCCTGATGCTGACCTTTTTTCAAGTTCTGAGTAACTCTTTGCCAAACATTCAAAATCTAACGTACCTTCTTCAGGAAAACAAGGGTTATGTTCTATAATATCATGCAAAAACTGCAAGAGATTACTTTCTGAAACTTTAACTCCTTAAGCATGCAAATCAATAGTCTATAATAAAGTTGCTTACTTTTTTTTTCTTCACGTCAGACGGGTCATGTGCCAGAAGCGTAACAAGGTTCATGGGTGGCACATCTCACACAGCAGCGTGAACACCCAATCATCACGCTTATGAACTACAAAAGGACCTAAAGTTTCTTACTTTTTAAGCCGAATTCTGCCCCATCAGCCTGGTTAGAAAGACGTTCTCACCCTACTTACAGATCGCGATTTCTGCAGCTGATCCTGGGCTTCGCGTGCGGTGAAATATCTCCCCACCTTTATGGTGAATTCTTCCCCACCTTTACAGTGAATCTTCGTTTTTTCCACTCTAGGCGAAGTCTTCTCTTCCAGCTGTCCCGTTGAGGCGCCAGATGTTTAAATTTGTTCCCTCCACGTCCCACGTGGTTCAGGGTTCAGGATCTGGAAGAGGTCTGCACGCAAATGAAAGAGACAAGAAATAATAATTTGGGAATATTGGGGGGCCAGGCGGGCAGGTCCAACTCAAAGGGAAGGACTTCCACTGGTGCTCAGGCCTCACCAACCTTTTATTGATCTGGGATACACCCATAGCACAGCCCTTAGGCCAGCAATTTCCAGGAACAGGCAGACGAGCCCATCAGCAAGGATTTACACAATAATAAATGGGGAAGTTGCTTCAGCTGCCATCGTGTGGACTAACCGTGGGTGCACAGCTCTGACCTTTGCCAGGGCTTCAAGGGTCACCAGCCTTCCGGGTTCCTTGTCCACACCTCTCTGGTAGAGAAGACAATGGATGACTTCCCACAATGTATGGATAAATAAATAGTTATTATTTCAAGGTAGCCGGTATAAAGAAAAAGTATTTTCAATAGCCATTTTAAAAAAAATACCTCTTAAATCTAAGCTATCACTAGAAGTATGTGCCAATTTCCAACTCATGCTTTCAAATCTAGTTTATCCATTGGATGTTGTAAGTTTTTCTCCTTTCATTTTTCTGTTCTATTACAATGAGAGCATTATACTGCTCCATTTATTTTACTTTTAAAAGAATCATCATATTTTCCATTATTTTTTATTTTAAATATATTTTTATTGATTTCAGAGAGGGAGAGGAAGAGGGAGATAAAAACATTAATACTGCCCTGGCCGGTTTGGCTCACTGGATAGAGCGTCGGCCTGGGGACTGAAGAATCTCAGGTTCGGTTCTGGTCAAGGCATGTACCTGGGTTGCGGGCACTTCTCCAGTAGGGGTGTGCAGGAGGCAGCTGATCGCTGCTTCTCTCTCATCGATGTTTCTAACTCTCTATCCTTCTCCCTTCCTCTCTGTAAAAAATAATAAAATATATTTTTAAAAAACACACACACATTAATGCTAACCAAGAATCATTAATTGGCTGCCTCTTCAGGCCCCATGGCATGTGCCCTGATCTGGAATCCAACCGTGACCTCCTGGTTCATAGGTCGAGGCTCAACCACTGAGCCATGCCAGCCAGACTATATTGCTCTTTTTTAAAAATATGTATTTTATTGATTTTTTACAGAGAGGAAGGGAGAGGGATAGAGAGTTAGAAACATTGATGAGAGCAAAACATCGATCAGCTGCCTCCTGCACATTCCCCACTGGGGATGTGCCCGCAACCAAGGCACATGCTCTTCACCGGAATCGAACATGGTACCCCTCAGTCCACAGGCTGACGCTCTATCCACTGAGCCAAACCGGTCAGGGCTATATTGCTCTTTTTAAAATTATATGTGACCCGGCTGGCATGGCTCAGTGGTTTTATATTTAAAATAATAATAATAAATAAATAAATAAAATAATATGAGTAGGTAGGTTATTTTATCAGTAAGATTCATTTCAGGGTGGTAAAGATGGTCTTACAAAATATTGGCTCAGCCTGGCCAGCATAGCTCAGTGATTGAATGTCAACCTATGAACTAGGAGGTCAGGGTTCAATTCCTAATCAGGGCACATGCCTGGATTGTAGGCTTGATCCCCAGTGTGGGTGTGCAAGAGGCAGCTGATCAATGATTTTTTTAAAAATTTTTAAAATATATTTTATTGATCCTTTGAAGCAGCGATCAGCTGCCTCCCGCACACCTCCCACTGGGGATATGCCTGCAACCAAGGTACACGCCCTCAACTGGAATCGAACCCGGGACCCTTCAGTCCCCAGGCCGACGCTCTATCCAGTGAGCCAAACCAACTAGGGCTGATCAATGATTCTTATCATTGTTTCTCTTTCTCTCTTCCTCTCTGAAATTAATGAGTTTCATGCTAAGTGAAATAAGCCAATCAGAGAAAGACATGTATCACATGATCTCACTCATATGTGGAATCTAAGTAACAAAATAAACTGATGAACAGAGGGGACCCAGAGACATGGGAGCAGGGAACAGAGTACGGAATTTTGGAGGGAAGGTGGGGGAAGGTGGGTGGGTGGGAGGTGATCAACCAAAGACCTTGTATTAATATATGCATGGCCCATGGACACAGACAGTGGGGTGGTGAGGGCCTGGGGTGGTGAGTGGGGGTGGATAAAAGAGGACATATGTAATAATTTCAACACTAAAGATTTTTTTTTAATTGGCTCAATTCCTAGGGTGTTGAGGATGATGGGAGAGAGAACCAGGAAACCAAGTAATGTTTTCCACCAAGCCCGTTTCAGAGGCACCACCCACACTGACACTGGCAATCAGTGAGAACAAGACAATGGAATAAGTCAGGTTTGTGTCCAAGCCCCAGAGCCTAGGAAGTAAGAGTGCACAGTTTGCTGTGAATTGTCACTCGCAGCTTCTCTAACAGGCAAGTCCATGTTCTCTGGACGCACAGAGAAGACAGCAGCTGGCTCTGGAGGAGTGGGGAGGACTCCTCGGGAGGGAGCACTGGGTCTGGTATCCAGGTCTAGATAACAGCTAGTACTTCAGAAGGCTCCAGCCCTGC